GTGGTTCGGTTGATGGGCGATAGGGCCCCCATCCCCCTATGTAGGTGTACAAGTATGTGTATGTGTGTGTGTGTGTGTGCATGCGTAGGCATTTTTTGGCCTGCACAGAATGGCAGCTTCTGCTTAACTGTGGCTGCGGCCGTGGTGTGGCAACAACAACAACAACAACAAAATCAATGCCAAATAGTCAAATAGTTTTCCACGCGCCGCATTTCACAAAAGGCGCGTACAAAAATGTTGCAATAAAATGCAAACAACAAACGACGCTGCCTCTGCATCTGCATCTGTAACAGCAACAGCAACAGCAACAACAACAACACAAAAGCAAAGCAAAAACCAAAAAAAAAATCAGTTGCAAAATAAAATGGTGAAGAAATGCAGAGAACAACGACAACAACAACAATGCGACCGATGAGCTGCAAAGCTGCAAAAACATACAGAAAAGTGTAAAACACATTGTGAAAATGTAAATTTTTCCATTCATTAAATGCGAAATGCGTGGAGCAGTCAATCCATTTTTTGGCGAAGGGATAGTGAGAGGAAATAGGCTTGCGATCTGAGTCCAATACTGCAACCAAAATTTAATGATTTCTCCAACCAACTCATTTGGGTTAAGCAACTTAAAAAGTGCGGCTCTAGATCGCTAAGGAACTAAGTATTTATAGAGTGTTTGCGACTTGGTTCAGGGCTGTTTTGAGAAACATATTTTTAATATCGAAAAATGTTTTTTAAACTTAATTCGAATTGTTTTTTTTTTTTTTTCTTAAAGTTACACCCGGTATGTACTTCGATATACCTGTATATCAAACGTGAATCAAAGTATAGCACTATTCGCGAACAGCCAAGAGAGAAAGAGAGAGAGATAGATGGGATTTATGCCACGCCTTAAGTTTTTTGTTCACATTTCTCGAATACAAATTTTCAACTTTAATTTGTTTCATTCAACAATGCACATATTATTATTGGTACCATTCTAGATCCATCCCCAATTCTAAGAAATACAATCTTTACTACTATTAGTAAGAAATTTCCAAATTCAAACTTAATATTGGAGTGCCATTCAATATTGACAATCAAAAGGTCGGATCGCTTTTTTCGATAATATATTTTGGATACTTGCTAAGAGCTAGAGAGTATCAAGAACGTATATACAGTTTCAACCGCCAACACAAAAATAAAAACTGTCTTAAGTTGAAAAGGTTTTAATGTCTAATTCCAATTTTTTAAATCTTGAATTGAAATAAGGCCTGACATATTATACTCTTAAGCACATAAAGAATTAAAACAACATCTAAATATTTAAGACCTAATTCTGTTTGTACACGGTCTTTTTAAAGGGTTTTTTTTTTTTTTTTTTGATTAATGAAATAAACATAAACCCTTGTTTTTTCACTGATTTAAATACATAGTTTTTAGAGATTAGGAACCAATCACATATTTTAGGACATGATCAATGTCTTTTTTTCTGGAACCAATCTACCGTGTAAAAACAGAATTAGGTGTAATATGCATATTTACGTTTGAATTTTCTTCTGTTGTTATTAATTTTATTGTATTTTATTAATTGCTTTATCGCTTTTTTGCACTCTGCTCCAAGACTTCTTTCCATGAAGACAGATAAAGTCGAGACCTAAAAAGGTTATCCACACATTGGGTTAGAAAAAGACAGATTGGAGGCCGACGACAATGTTTTATACAAAAGACAGTGATGAGTAAAACATATAATAACTTCTTAGTTTCATTTATCGTTCGAATATGAACAATTGTTAATGTCAGTTCTTTTTTTTTTTGCTGAGTACACAGAACCATTCCTTCCACTATATTTTAAAATGGTCGCCTGAGACACGTCAGTTCTGGCGACCCAAACAGCCTAGGTGGAACAAAATCTGTATTCTATTTAATTTAAAAAATTGTCTGCTCTTCCGAAAAGTGAATATTTCATCGCATTTCCAGCTCCAAAAGCATGCTGGTTGGTTTCCAAATTTCGTTCCATGTGGGAAGGAAGAGCCCGGAGCTCGGAAATTCGAATGAGTTTCGAGATGGCATGGCATGGCACTACACATCTATCTATGAATGTGCCTAGTCGTATTAACTCATCTCACAGCCAGTTCTAAACTCAATGGCGAGCTGCAGCTGCAGTCAAGGTCGGGTCGAAGGTCACAGCTAACACAGCGATCACTCAACACTCGGAAAAATGGTCATGTGGCGCTGATAGCATTTCTTGGTGTGGTCTTAGGTCTGAGGGATCTCTGAGGGATCTGTTAATTAGTATCTGGCACTTGGTGCTGCTCATGGCGTGATGGCCCATCATAAGGTCAGGCCTTGCACAAAACGCTGAACTAATGCGCTGTGGTTGGCCCGATTTATGTGTTAATGCCTAAATACTATATACTACATATAGGTGTGTGCGTGTGTGTGTATGTGTGTGTGTGTGTGTGAGCCTTGTCAACGGCACAATGCCAAATTGAGGTCGTTATGCTAATTAATGCGGCAATTGTGCAAAATAATCGCCGACTGGTGCTGAGCAGCTACCCAGGCGCATAACTCACTGCTCTACACTTAGGACCAGACAACAGGTATCCACATGTCCTTTTCCCTCACACCACACCACACCACACCACACCATTCATGCCACACAGTGTTGCTCACAATCACTAATTGTGCGTATAAATTGGCAGCGATTTGTTATTTTGTGAGCGCTGCGGTTGCTTTTGGCCTTCGATTTTGGTTGATAAGTCTTTGGACGGGTCGTGGTGTGAAAATGGCAGTTAACTGCTGGCCACCAACAGGTATTGTTCTCGGCCCTAGGGCCAGAATTTCTTCCAACCGCATCGAAGAAAACCTAGACTTGTTATTCATTTTAAAGCTAAAAGAAACATAATATAAAATAAAAAAAATCTTCCTCGTGTTGTTCTTGATTTCAAAAATGTCTTGGGATACTTTTTAATCATGATTCTTTAATGAGAATTGCGGCTTAGTTTCAACCTACGGGGCCTACTCTAGAATAAAGTTATTTGCGTGATTCCCACTAGCCCATTGAGCTAGCCTGGCCACCAGGAATATATAATAAATTGATTGCTTTATTTTAAAATTTTTTAAATAGGTCTAAGGTAAAAGCAAAGTATCAGGTTAAGCTTCAGGCCCATTAGTATTTAGCCAGGCAGTATTTAGCCATACACGACTCCGGCGAAGATACAAGTCTATCTTTATCCAGCAATAAAAGTTAGGGCTATACTCCAAATATATTTGATTAGGATTTGCCTACTTGTGGTTAGTCTCTAAGAGAGAAGATTCCATAAATAAAAACAGAGTAATAAAAAATAAATAAGAAAATGTTGTGCGGAAATCCCAAGTTGAAAAATCAGATACATTTTCCCCATGGCGAAAGCAAAAAGATAGAATGTGAGAATGTTAAAAAAGAAAAAAAATCTGGCCAATGATGCCTAGATATTAGGGAAGTGTTTGGTTCATGTGGACACATCCGTTTCCGTAATTCACGAAGCATCATGAAGAATGAGTTTACTAATTAAGAAAATATAGTATATAAACAAGGTTGAACATTCTCTGCTCCAACCTTATACACCCATCCCAAGCCTGTGGTATGACACATATAGTTGTGATTTTTCTTAAAAAGAAAACACATCTGTGGAAACTGCAACTCGTTATGTTTATCTTTAAGAGTCGTTTGAAAACATAAAAAGTCGGCAGCAAAAGTAAAAGTTATAGAAATCGCATTTCAGAAACTTTTTATAGAATTTCTCATTATGTTTAAAACACTTAAGAAATTGCCAAGGCGATGAATTGAAAATTTCCCAGATTACACCCTTTTTTAAAGTAAATTTAGAAAACAAGTTAGAAAATTCAATTTGTAAATAATTTTTGTTGTGTTTATTATTTCTTATTTGGTTTCGAAATTCGTTTGTTAATGTTTTCTTTCGCGCTAAAACTTAAGGCTAGAAAAAAAATTGTTTCCTTCTTAAGACTAAGAACTTAAAAATTATCAATCGCTAAATTCGCATTACTCAAAAAGTCGCTGCAACTTTAAACGCCTATGTATGTACAACATTCAGGATAATGTCCAAAGATCGAAATAAGGGATACAAAAAAAAATAATAGTATTTTCTTGAATTCAAAAATAATTTAAAATATAATCGTATAATATTATTTAGAATGGGTTTACGTTATACATATCGAAGACACAAATTGCTTTTAGAGGACAAGAACTAAAAAAAAAATATGTATATATAATTACAAGAACTAAAAAATTTAACTAAGGTTCGGATTTTCATTTTCTCAGGGTATTTGTGAACTCCTGTCGTTTAACATATTTCACTTAGAGGCAATCGCAGCTGGGCGATCGTTGAAATTTGTAACGTGCCTATGTTTTGTTTTGTGTGTGTTATTTTTTTTTTTTTTTTTTTTTTTTTTGTTCAAAGAGTACTTTCACTAGCTTTAACTGAGGATCTTAAGGACCTTATAAATTGGGTGTATTTGTGTATGTGTTGGTGTGCAAGACGAACTCAACGCACGTTTTTATGTAACGAGCATAAAATTTCGCCGGAATTCGCCGGACAGCCATGAAGGATGGGGATTTGCGGGTACGGTTTTCGGTTTTCGGTTACGGGTTCGGGTTCGGGTTAGGCTTCCTTCCTGTTTGCTCTCATGGGGCTTTGTGCAATGTTCACGTGCATCCGTTTGCCGGCCGGAGCTGTGTGTGTGTGTGTGGGTGCTTTCGATTACTGCTGCTCCTTCATTTACTTAACACTATATCACAATATTCTGGTTTGCTGCCGACTTCGGTTTTTATCACTGGCCGCTTTTCCGCGAGCTCTCTCCTTCTCGTTCGTTTCTCTGTCCACTTCACAGGCCCTGCGTTGTGCTTTGCCGTCGGCTATCATGCCTTCAAACGTTCGCATCCGTTGTCGTGCGTGCATTCGCGTCTTCCCTTGCTTTTCTGGGCTTGGTCACAGCTCGATCCCTTCGAGCAGCTGCCGGCAAGCTCAGTAAGGTCGCCACACTGTCTTCTGTTGCGCCACCACATTCTTTAGCTTTGTAGCCGCCGGCAGCGTAGTCTCCGGCGATGTTTGGCGCGCCACGGCCGCCGACGACTCATGGAAGAGGGGCTTCAATGCTGATGGCGCTTTCAGGTCGCAACGCATTCGCAGCGGCACCGTAATGTGCTGCGTGGGCGAGGAGCGAGTGGAGTCGATGGACTTGTCTAAATCGTACTCCGACTTAACCACATCGATTTGTTCATCGTCCGAGTCCGCATCGGAGGCGCTCTGTTCGTGAATCGAACTCGTTTCGATGGAGGTGTTCAGCTTGAGGAGCACATGTTGCTGTTGCGTGGGTGGCGATGACGAGGAGGGGCGGGAAGAGGCGGGGCTGATGTGTGCACCACTCAAGTGCGTGGAGTCCGCCGATGTATTGTGGAGACCGGCAGCTGCTGCCGCTGCATTGCGAGCCCGCAGTCCTGCGGCGGCGGCAAAGTTGTACGGATGGAAGGCATGGGGAAGATTCGTAACTGACGTCACCGCCGATGGTGGCGTCTTCTGCTGGGCTGCGGCAGCTGCAGCAGCAGCGGCTGGATGCAGAAGCTCTGGATGTGCACCGGCAGCAGCGGCGGCTGCAGCAGCAGCGGCCACATGATTGAAGGGAAATTGCGGCATGCCGTATGCATTAGAAGCGGCGGTGGCAACGGGCGGTGAAGGCAACATTGAAGCGGCCGCAGGCTGTGTGGCTACACCACTTGGCGGGACCTGTGGTGGTGGCGTCAGTTGTGCGGCGACAGCATTCACATGATGATAATCGGACGTTGGCACGGCACCGCCCGGCGCAATAGAACCCGCATTGGCACTGCCTGGGGACAGGACGCTGCTGCTGCTGGGAGGCGAGGGCTTCGACAAAGCTGGATGATGCACAGCAGCGGCAGCGGCTTGATGCCGAAAGTAGTCTGCGTAGCCATAGGTCATGTAGGCGGCATCCAGCCAGGCTGGATTCAGCATGAAGGGATTGAAGGCGCCGGGATGTGGATAGCCATAGCCTGAAGTGAAGAGAAGCGAGAGAAGCCACAAAATGTTGGTTAGTTATATTCAATTAATGGGCCATACAGAATCGATTTAAAACTTGGTTGGGTATGTTGTGGGGGCTGGGTGGGTGGTTTCTTGAGGATGATTGGAGGATGGTGGTTGGGTGGTTTGGTGGTTGGGATGCAAAAATCAAAATAAAATTTCAAACTAAAAACTCACTTTGCTTACTTCTTGGCTCCCGCGGCCCGTCGACCGTCACCTTGATGGCTTTCGTGTACGAGGCAATCTGAACTGGATATGTTGCAATCGTGATGGTCAGTGTGAATGACTTGCCCCGTCCGGAACGACCCACGAAACGCAAATCATTGAACTTGGCCACCTGATTCTTCATTGTGGTCATGCAGTTGCGCAGCTCGCCGCAGTAGTTCTCATCGTTCCCGCACTTGATCGTAACTGGAGTGCCGTCGGGCACATCGTCCAGAGCGATCACCTTGAATGCGCCCGGCAGAGATTTGTTTGAGCGCCAGTGGTTCGGCAGCGCACTGCAGAGTATTGAGGGAGATCCCGTTTGGGCCAACTCTCCGTGGTATTCCTGCAGCATTTCGTGTAGACTAGCAAACATATCTGTCATCGAGCTGGGCATCTTGGCCGAGTTGTTGTTATTGTTGCTGGAGCTGCCGTTATTGTTGTTGCTGGTGCTGTTGTTGGCGCTGCTGCCATTGTTGTTATTGCTGCTGCCATTGTTGCTGCTGCTGCTGCTTGAATTAACTCCCTGCAACGTATCAGGCGTGGAGCTGCCCGTGGAGCTTGCCGTTGAGTGTGTGCTTATATTGTGCCCCGCGTTGGGCGCCACACTACTACTCCCACTGTTTACAGCCGCAGCTGCTGCTGCTGCCGCCGCCGCTGCAGCCAGGACTTGTGTATGTGCTGTGGTGTTGGCCACCATTGTGGGTCCCGAAGGCAGATGCATGTTTCAAAACACACTTTTTACACTTTTTACACGTGCTCAAAAAAATATATGGAATTAGGTAGTATTTAGTAGTTGCTGCTGCTGCTAATCCAAGTGCTTTTGGTTTTGGGTTTGCTTGCACTATTGGCAATACTTGTAGTATTATTATTACTATTCTTTTTGATCGGAAAAAAAAAACACACACACTCCCGCTCGGGGGCGATACTTTGTGTTGGTTGTATCGTCGTTACGTTTCACTGTTCAACACGCAACGACTTTGCGAGTCGTCTACGTCCACGTTAACGTCTCTTCTCGTCTCGTTAGCGTTAGCGTTTTCTTTGCGTCAATGCGCTACTTTTCTTTTCTGGGCAACTGAGTGTGCACACGTTAAAGTCGTCGAGTGAACTGATTCTCTGCTGCGATCGTTGCCAGTATTTAAAGTAAAGAATGCCTCCTGCGCTGACTGCGCTGTCGCCGAGGGCTGCGCTGTCCGCTGTCGTCGCATGTTGCGCATTCACGGGCAGTATTCGCAGCCCCTCTCGCTCGCACTCACTCTCATTATCCTGCCCGTCGTCCGCTCGAGCGCTCGTGCGTGCAGAGCGGTATGGTTTGGTTGGTTGGCTGGTTGGCTGCCTCGCCTCGCCTTTCCTTGCTTGTTTGGTTGGCCGTCCGTCCATCCGTCCGACCATCCATCCGCTTACCTATGGCCAGAAGCAGCGGCAGCAACAACAACAACAACAACAACGGCGAGCAGCAACTAAGGGTGCAGGCCACAGACGTACGACGGGGCAGGTATCAAGCAACCACCATTGCCGCAGCAACAACCACAGGAAAAATTTCCCATTTTTCCATTGCGGTGTACACTCGCGCGCACACAAACACACACACAAACACACACACAAGCACAAGCACACACACTCGCACTCACACAAACAGGCAGTGGCATGCCAACGACGACGACGACAACAACAACAACAACAGAAAACACACACAGAAATAAGGGAAGCATAGAGCAAGGCAGCAGGCGTGTGTTGTTGGCTTGTTGTTGTTGCTGTTGCCGCTGCCACCGCCGCTTGTTACTTGTGGCCAGGGGCGCGCGGCTTTATGCCAGCAACAACAACAACGGCAACAAAAAACGCAAGAGAAACAAGGGCGCAGAAAAAATATACATTGGAAGCCAAATCAAAAAAAAAAAACAAAAACAAAAACAAAAAAAAACAGACAGACAGACTGTAAAAATGTGCGGCAGAGAGTGCGCGCTCACTTGGCTTGGCACACTCTTTGGGAGAGCGCTCTCCGCCCACTCTCGCCGCTCGCTGTGGGGCGTTCGCGACGCCGAGGCGGCTGAGTTGTTGGAAAAATGCAATGAAATGTAACAAAAAATACAAATAAAGAAAGCGCAAAGGCTTCGGAAAAAGTCAACTGCGTGCAAAAAATGTGCGGATGCTGAGGGACTACATAGCATTGTACTATAAAATAAAAAAATGAAAGTAAAGAAAATGTCTCTCACGCAATGCTATGCGCGCGCCTTACGCTCTCGACGCGCTCCCTATCTCGCGCTGCCACCCGCTGGAGCCCAGCTCGGCACAGGACATTTCAGAAAGGTCGCTTCTGCGACTGCGACTGCGATGGTGGCCCAACGGGCGGTCGCTAGCTGGAAAACGCTGTCTTTTCTTTTTGCAGACAATACTACTATATGGAATAGAGATATACTCGTATCTTTAGGCACGCCGTGTGCCAAGGCAGTTTTCACGTATGCAACAGTTCCAACTGCGCGCGTGTTGGCAACCCATGGCGCGGCAGACAGGACATGCCATGGGAACGATAAGGTGGCCTCAGGTAGCGCTCCTGGCATCTCTGCCACATCTCTGGCATGCCATACTCTGGCACTCGTACCACTCGTTTGCATGGGGCTGCGACAGTGGCCAGTGCCGTGGCTTGAGAACTCAATTAGCCGAAGTGCGGCATCAGCAATCAGTTGCGCCATAGTGGGAGAGCAGGGAGGCGCTTAGGCCAGATGATCAGGGGCGCATGCACCTACATGCTATCAAGGACAATGATCAGATATTTACAACGAAATGGGCCAAACACCTTACTGACATACAATATATGTATGTAATAACATAATAAGTTGGCTAAATATTCAATATTTACAATTAGGCGTCCATTTTCAAACGAGCATTTTCCGTTTTTGAAAACAGAAGAGATCTAAATATTGCACCATATTGGTGCCTAATAAAAAGTGAGCTTAAATTTGGATATCCCCATTTCTTAATATTAGGGATCGATTAATTTGCCGACTAATCGTATCTTTAACTCTTCAAAGGAGTATAAGTATTTTTAAGAGAGCACTATATGTACTAAAAAGTTAGCTACTTGTAAAAGCTGGATGTCACAATTTCTGAATATTCAATATTTACAATTAAGCGTCCATTTTCAAACGAGCATTTTCCGTTTTTGAAAGCAAAAGAGATCCAAATATTGCACTAATATATGCCTGACAGTTCTTCTATCTTAAAAGCATTCATGAATAAAATGTGTCCTCATTTCTGAATTCAAAGATCGATCGATTTACTGACTAATCCAATACTTTACTTTCCAAACGAATATATTTTTAACCGTTGAACTATATGTCTTAAAATGTTTAAACATATAAGATCAAAATATATGCCAGAACATGGCTGTTCTTCTATCTTTGAAGCATTCCTAAATAAAAAGTGTGCTAAAACCGAATCGAAACTTTTACTTTGCAAACAGTTGTACTATATGTCGTAGATTTTTTTAGAGTTAAAAATATTATACTAACACTTTTATACCTCAACATGGTTGCTTTTCTGTCTAAAAATCATTCATAAATAAAAAGTGAGCTTAAGCCTCGCTGTCCTCTTTCTGAATAGTCAAGGCGTTTAAAAAAAAAAAACGTCAATTTACTTTCCTTTTTGTATTTAAGTAAGAAATTGGTTTTCAACTTGCGCCATAACAAAAAGCTTAGCTATGACAAATTAATTTACTGATGGATCGAATTATTTACTTTTCAAACTTTTTTGAAACAAAAATATTATATATATTCCACCAATATATATCATTTCAAAGGAGTAAATTTCCAACATTTCTACTATATCTCCCAAATTCTTTCAGAATGCGGCTGTTTTTAACTTTTTCCAACCAAAGCCAAGCAAGATAGTTATATAATTGTCTCTTGTAATAATGCGAGCAACATACGATACATAACTATATATTCGTGTTATTTAAAAGGCAATTCATTTATAACAAAAATTCGTTTGCCAAGTTTCTAGCCTTAGCCTTATTCTATATATACTGGTGTTGGGCATTATTAGGTCGAAAACAAACTACTGTTATGCGGATTATTTCCAATTCATTTATTATCCTTATGTCTCGTGTATAGCTTGTGGCAGCCTAAATGCTAACAAGTAAAGATTAGATATGAAATAATTGTGTACAGAATTGAATTGTAAACAAAAAGTTGCAGTGCAAAAAAAGGAACATTAATATTTGTTTTAAGCTCGCGGCATAAAAATCTGAGACAGGGCCGCGAAAATTCTCGACTCACGCCACTGTTTGGAGGCGACAAATAAACTAGGCAGGCCAACCAACAAATTGTGGAGCACCAAACAAGTTAAAACGAGGCCAACACACAGAAGGACATACATGTGTGTGTGTGTGTGTATGGTCAGTTGCACAGTCATAACCAGCGGCAACGTTTGCGCCACAGAAAACGCTGAAGCTGGAGCTGGAGTTGTGACTGAAGGAGAGCGAAATGGCGAATGGACGGGGCAGCCACAATGAGGGGCAACATGGTAACAAGTTGAGCACGGCCGCCGTGGCCACAGTTGCCGCAGCTGTTGCTGACGCTGTTGTTGTTGTTGTTGCTGTTTTCTGGTTTTCTGTTGGGGGGCAGCGAGCGCAGGACACGAGTCAAGCCGATGGTTAGGCTCTGCCAACCAAAATGTCGCTAGCTCTGAGCTCTCAGCTCTGACAAGCGGCAGCGCGCCTCGCTTGAAGCGCGAAGTGCGGCGAGCAGAGACTTGCGAGAAGGGCGCAACAATAGGAGGTGTCCCTCTTGTTGTTGTTGTTGTAGTTGCGCGGGTGCGGGGAAAGTACACGCACACTTCCAATAAACTGCGACGCTGCTGCTGTGCGTGCGTCCCCGCTCGCTGTGACAACAACAACAGCAACAACAACAATTACAGTGTCAGTGACAAGAAGGACGCGTCACAGGTCTCGCTGTCTTTAGTCTCTTGGCTCTGTTCTGGGTCCGAGCGTGCGACAAGGATGCAACTCACTGCCTTTGATTAAGTGTTTACTTTTTTCTTCTTCTTCTTCGCCGCCGCCGCCGTCGTCGTCGTCATCGACCTTCTCGCGAATTCGCAACGCTCGATAAATTGCTATTTTCTTGAAGGCAGGACGGACGCACGGGCGGACTGGCGGACTGGCGGACAGGCGGACGCTCTCTCCCATCGCGAACGCTTTTTGCCCTTTCTAGCTAGAAAGCCGCCATGGTCCGCTGATCGGCCACACCGTCGCAGCTCGGAAGCTGAAGCAGCACGCGTGGCGCGCACGCAACTCGCAACTCGCGACTTTCTCCTTCTCTCTCCCTCGCTGTCCCTCCATCGCTTTGATTACCTGTTGCTCCTGGTGTGTGCCAAAAAGAAAACAAATTATGCGTCAGATGTGAGCTGTGAGCTGTGAGCTGCAAGGGCCACCCTTTTTATATGGCCGCTTTTTAGCAAACTCGCCCGCTACAGCACCAGGTTATACCACTAGCTTCGATTTCCCAAGGAGGTAGCACAGGTAGCGTGCATTTCATAAACCGCATGCGAATCCTGTGCGCCCCCTTTAATCCTTTACTTTTAAAAGTCAATCGGGCGGATTATCCAGCACGCCTAGCAAATATTTGGGCGATTAGGAGGCCGCGACCGCCTTGCACGCGATCGTAAAATGAGAAAAGGAAGAGGTGTCTCCTGCTCTCTACCTGCGCCCACTTTTTACGGCACTTGCCC